AAGGCTGCTTTTATAGTTGGATTCTCACCCCAAGATGGTTCTATCTTTTCTCCAATATACTCTTCATCCGGTGAATGTGCTGATAATATGTTCAAAATCACCATAAATATAGTTGCTTGAATTTGTGATGGAAAACACTCCAAAAGTGTTTGGTCTGGTTTGTTGATGAATTTTTCCCATTCTTCCTTTGTAGGGTCCTCTGTAGGCATTTTGTTTCTTGCAATGGTTGGTCTATTTGGAAAGTAGCCTCCATATGGATATTGTGTGAAGTTTACAGCTGAATGATGTGCAGATGCTACCCAAGCTATAGTGGTAATGATGTCAATAAGGTCTTTTTGTGTTTTGAGTTTTGGCCACCATGGTTCTTCTGATTTGTCGCTGTGACCCTTTGTTCGAATTTCTGTCCACCATGCTTGGAGCTCTTCATCAGACTCTACAGTTTTCGGGCTTGGATAGTAGTGGTTTACATACTCCGTGACCCATTGTTTGATTGCATCCCATATTAGAAGACCATCATTTGCGAAAGGATAGTCTTCAATTGCTAGCTTTAGGCCATGTTGTGCATTAGGATCTTCCACAGCCATTCCTCTGATAAAACAAAAATAACAATTTATATAATTAAACATGTGTCTGGTGTCTGCCACATGTCTGTGTGTGTCGGTGTCCCGTTCTCAAGTATTGGTGTAGGCCTGTTAGTATCAATACTATGTTTGATACTTGTGTTTCGTGTCTGTGTTTGTGTTAGTGTTTCATAGCATAATATGAAACATCTATAATATAAATATTACCTATTGATAAGATCCTTTGGAAGTGCCTGCAAATCAAATTGCCAAAGCTTATCATATGCCACAGAGCTTAATTCCATTGTATATTTTTTAGGAAAGAATGATATTTCAAGGATCCCGTTTGCATTAATAAGCACTTCACGAGCAACTTTATTGATCTCCATTGTATATCTCAGATGTGGATGCAATAATCTATAAATCGGATGCATGGAACTGAGTTGTCTGTAGGTTGCAATGATTATAGGTTCAACAACACAATGAGTTCTTAGCCTGCAAAATTATACATTCAACAAATTACTAAGCTAGCACTAATTATAAGCTTGACATAACATCTCATAACCTAATCGCTACTCACCAATGGCTTATAAGTTCATGATGACCAGAATCATGTGCAAGAACATGAGCTTTAGCGAGCCTCCAAAGCCAGAGATTGGTGGAATAAGAAGCAGGTGTGAAGACTTGCTTCCATTGTGGCTTGCCGTCAATAATCGGTCTAGTGAGCTCAATAGCTAAGGGCTTCAATATGCCTTGATTGGTGAGGAAGAATAGTGTTCTTGATCCATATAGTGTTGTTCCCTCAATCTCTCTCACTTTACTTACATATGGTAAGTATAAATCATGATAGTCTAGCATGAACAACTTCTGTTCTTTAATAGCCTGTAAAGTTTTCAAAATAAATAACTTTTAAGCACTATACAATGTTAATTTAGTAAAAAAAAAATGCGTTGATGTTTTCGTAGTACCTCGTCAAATGTGCTATAAGTGATTATTTGTGACTCAATGATTTCTTTTGTAATCGCAGATTCTGGTGGACCATAGACTTCAGCGTCTAGTTTACTTTTCAAAGGCCATTCCTATAAGAACTTTGAAAGTTATTTCACATGTATAAGTAAATATTGGGAAAGGAGTAAAATGAATATTAATTGGTAGCAATATCCATGCCTTAACCAATTGGATGCTATAGGGATTGGCACCGGCCAAAGTTTCTCTGGCAAACTCCACATCTGAAAACCAAAAGAATCTATCCCCTGCGATTCCAAAGAACATATTCATATGAATTAGAAACTAGGAATGATCTTTAATAACTTGTTTAAATGATCAAACTTACTTTTTAATGGTTCCGGGGTATCAAAGCGCAAAAGATTTTGGCTATCATTAGCAACCTTAATCAATTTCGGAATGACCTTTTGGAGAAACGTTAAGTCATTGAATTTAAGAGGTGGTAAATGAAATCCTTCTTTGAAAATTTCTTCTATGTCTTCAAAGCTTGAAAATCCAAGATTTTGATCAGTGAGGATTGTGTCTAAGGATTGAATAACTGCAGTCAAGCCTGAGGATATCGTAGAAGTGTTGAATTGCGTCTGCTTTATTCCAGAAAACGACTCATCGCGAGGAACATAGAAATTTAAAGTACTCCTTTTTTCATACAACGGGTCTGCATAAAAACATCATGTTATAAACACATATGTCTTGATGCATCAAAACTAAATATATGAACAATAAGAATAGATAACCTGCATCAGAGTGTTTTCGACCGGTACGACAGCGTCTAGGATATGGATATTGTTTGGTACCACCAAGAACAGGTCTTTTGAGTTCAATGCTGGTGTCAGGATCTCCAAGATCATTGTACACATCATAGTCATATATTCTGTCTGATTCTTTTCTTTCTCCTTCTCCATTCCCTCTCAGTAAAACTAGCTCTTCTTTTCTTAATCTTCGCAACCCTTTCGGTGTTTGAGATGGTAAATATGACTGTTACATCACATGCATGTCTTAGTTAGCTATAGGTACATAAGAATTTCTCCACGCACAAAAAGAAAAATCTAATTACCTTGTCGGTGAAGAAAACTCTCTTTGCAGGACTATCATGCTTGGGTTGAATCCAAGAATTGCATGTAAAATTGAGAGGGCCATCAGAGAAGCCATGAAGAACTATACTCTTTAGAAAAACCTCCTTATGTTGCTCATTTTCAACAAAAATAGCACCAACCTTCTCAAAATCATTGGATAGCTCGAACTCGGCCTCATACTGCTCATCGTCCTCTTTTTCCTCTATACATTGAGCCGAGCCTTTTACCGTCTCCTTCTCCGAGGAGTACGCTGCAACATTCATACAAACATCAGGTAAGCCACTTAATAACTTTATAAATAGTACATACTCAAAACTCAACATTTTAATCTAAAATTTGAACTTACGTTGATCAAGCTCATTGCTTACAAGTTCTAACACAAGTGTTTTTCCAACTAACTCTTCAATCTGTTGGATCCCTCCATCTACAAGATTCTTTAGAAGCCAATCATCACTATGTTTCAAAGTAACAATAGCTTTCACTCTTATCAAATTCTGAGATTCCGTGCTTGTGTCATCGTCGTCGCCACTATTTCCCATCATAGCCTTCACACATTGAGTTACACAATCCATGTGAAACTTAGTCGTTTAATTTCTGATCAATGTTTAAGAGAGTTTAATTTCCCTAATAATGCTAAAAAGACAATCTATGATATATTATGAAAATCTTTCATACTTTTATAGGGGAGAAAATGTAGTATTAGCTATAGAGATAAAGATTGTTGTAAAGTAATTAGTCAACGTCGTGCATTGCATGGTATTGCTTAATTTCTTCTAATGAGAATATCAATATTACACTAAAAAGTAATGTAGAAAAAATTTTCTTTGCTATTTTATAATATTTACGTATTTTCTTTATTGAGAAAAGAGGAAGCACATGGGACACAGTTTAAAAGAAAAATTGAAGGACGTATTTTCCAAAAATTAGTTGAAGACAATGTTTAGTTTTGTTTGGAAATCGGTTGGGGTAAATATGTCAATAATAAAGGAGGTTTAAGAAAACTCTAATTAAATATGACAATAAAGTCTCAACTAATTATACTTTTAAACATTAATTACTCACTCTGATTTATTTTAAACATTAATTACTCTGTATTAAAATAACTATCATTTTAGAAAAAAAAATTTGTTTAAAATAAATCTCATTCTCACTTTTCAAGATAGTAATAATCGATATTTTTCCAATTGTGTCATATAATTATTACTCTGTGTACTATTTCTAACACAATATCATTGTATTTTTTATCATTGTATTTTTTACGACAATCATTTTAAAACAGAGGAAGTAGTATTATTTTCCAATTGTTTCTGCCAAAAAAGTCAAAACAATTGAATTGATAATAGCCCCCTATGGTAGGTATTTGATTCAAGTAAATGTACTCTAGTCTGTCGTGTCGTGGCAGTAATCAATGATTTCATAATGATAATGAAAATGCATAATTTGGACAAATTGAAATTACCATAATTAGAGAGCTGATGTTAAATTGGTATGAAAAAAAAGATTTATAGCAAGACACAAATATATTGATACTTAACTGCATTCTTTAATTTTCCCCTTTGCACAAATAAATCTTTAATCATATATTTAATACGTATCAAACACTAAATATGTGTTTTTCTTTGTTTATTAGATAATGGTGCTATAAGATAAACTTAAAACTTAAATTGGAATTTAAAAGAAAAATAAGTTATCTAACGTGAAGTGTTAGTTATAGGAAAAAAAAGTCAAAACAACAAAATAGCTCTCTACGAAATTGTCTTTTGTGATAGCTGTTCTTCTCCCAATATAGATGTATAAAGAAACCCCTGATAAATGCAGTTTATATATCAACAATGGTGTCACCAACCATAATTATTTTTCTACACTATTCTCCTATGTTACACTCGACTTCGAGACCACTTTTCCCACCCGAACATCAATGCATTAAAAAAAATACAATTTTTTTGCCTGGATGCATACTTCTGAACAATTTGTGTGGCCCGGATGCATTAGTAGGAAAATATGGAGGGTTGATTAGAAGGGCGGCAAAGTAAGCGCCCATGCTACTTATCCGCCCCCGCTATTTACCATTATTAGGCCCAAATTTATAAACCCTATAGGTTAATTGAAGAAGGGGTGGGTGTTGGACCAAAAATAAAGGATGAAAGGGACAAATCTAAATTAAAGCTGCTGCCTAAGATAATTATGTATGTACTATTTGAGAACAAACATGGAGGAAAAAGAAACTAATCACACTATGACAAACACTGCAACTTCTAAGCTTTCTGCTTTTTGTACTAAATGGTGGTCATTGGTCTTCCATTAAGAAGACAAACAGCCACAGCCACAGCTACACACCCACCTGGGTATCAAATTTGATACTTTACTTCCTAAGCTTTTTCAACAGAGGTTCTGATTGCCCATCTCCCTGCCAAATTTGAACATTTAAATGGACATTAATATCAACAAAGAAAATAATACCACATACACAGGTTTTTCGCTAAACTAAGATCAGAAAAATATACCAAGTTGAACAAAAATTGCAATGCATGTTTGTCACATACAACTAACTATACACGTTGTAACCTTTTCAAACGGTGCCAAGATTGCGATCCAGATCATAAAATTGTACGATTCAACGATCTCACTCACCCCCGCATGATCCAGATTGTATGTAGAATCATGCATTTGAGCAAGATCGCAGCAAAATTGTCACCAGATCGTGTATGATCCTGGATGCTTCTAGGCTGTAGGTGTGTGGGTTTTGTCTGACCCAGTTTGCAGCCCGGTTCTATAAAAACGGGAGAGAGAAAATTTTAAAATAATACTTTTGAATCATCTCCCTCCCTCACAACAGTCTCTGCCTCTCGCGCACCTTTGTGACCTTCTCTTCCTTTTAAGAGATGTGTAACGGCCAACAGTGCTTTCGTTTTTACTCTCTGACTCTTATCACACAGTAAATTGCCGGTGGAGTTGAAGAGATTCAAGTAATAGCCCATCCCAAACTCATTTGAATTATTCAGAAAGGAACTTTCACAATATTGGCGGACAATTTGTTCCTCCAAATTTACATACTACTAAATAATTTGTTCCGTAAATTGAATTGTCCTCCAAATTTACATACTGAATAACTTGTTCCATAAATTGAATTGTCCTCCAAATTTACATACTGAATAATTTGTTCCATAAATTGAAGGTCGCCAATCAATTTAGTCTCTCTTTCATCTAATAGAGACAAAAATGTTCAGTTGACATGTTTAGGGCGTGTTCAGTTGGAGCATGTAACCAGAAATTTGTTAAGGCGGCCATTGATCTCTATCTTGCAATCCAAATTCATCAAACTTGATTGATAGATGGACTAATTTGATTTCCGGTCTTCAATTTCATGAACTAAACTACCATTTCGTAAATTTGAGAGTGCAAATTGTTCAACCCATACAATTTTAGGTGCCAAAATAGTTTTCAGTTGTTACAATAATTTTATGACCCATGAATCAAGTGGAAAAAGAGATAACGAACAACAAACTTACAGCATGTGATAGTTGCTCACGGATATAGGCCATTGATCGTAGCATAGCACCCAATGTATCCTTGGACACCTGAAACTTAACTTCTGACTCGCCGGAAGTTGTATCCGCATCTTGAAGCTGAAACATTTACAGGATTTAAATTCAACAAACAAAAAGCAGGTCAAAATCAAGAGGCAGATAATCAAATAACGCATAATAGTATAATTTGCTACATCGAGAGACATGAGGTTGTGATATAATTGGTGATAAGTTATTTCAGCATCTGTTTTTATCGATATCTTTCTTTTATTCTTTAAGGGGGGAGCACTGGTGATAATTGAAACCAATTTTGTAGGGATAAGTTAACACTCAGATTCTAATAGTATCAAACTGAATAACAACTTCAAAAATAGGTTATATCATATATGTGAGCATATGACTGAAGATAATGCCCAGTAACACAATATTTGGCCTCCTGGAAATAATACAACCCGAGAATTATTAAACAAATTTTAAAAGTCTCAAACAAACTAAATCCTTACACTATGGAGTAAATATTAAAAAGAAGAAAACACAACAAAGTTGAAAAGTAACATGGATTAGGGATAGGGCACATTATTTTAAGAAATGTCCCAATGATTGGGAAAAACAAATTTGATATCAGCCTTCACTGAGTTTCATAAAAATCTGGTAAGTTCTTGAAATGGAAATCTAAATTCATGTGGCTTTTATCAATGAGGTCATACTATTCAAGATTGGATTTGTTAAGAAATGTGATTGAGTCTAACTCAACCCTACAAAACAGGTTGGTAGGGTGAGGACTGCCTCCACTTATAAACGCAATACATTATCTGATGTGGGACTCTTAACATACCCCCTCACGCTCAGAACTAGACAACTGGAGCGTGAAAATAAATGGTGGGTGGCCCGATAGCTGAAACCATAGTAGGTGGCCCACCGGATCTTAAACGAGGATTTTGATACCATGTTAAGAAATGTAATTGGGCCTAACTCAACCTTACAAAACCGGTTGGTAGGGTGATGACTACCCCCACTTATAAACACGTGTTCAGACCATACATTATCCGAGGTGGGACTCTTAACAGGATCCATCACAAACAACCTAAAAATATTGTAATTGTGCTATCAATTTTCGGCGTCATAACTCAAATAAGAATCATTCAGAAAGAATTAAAAAAAAAAAGATCTAATTACACCTATTAACGCAATACCATCTCAATTCTGGTACTGTTCTAATTCACTCTCTAAAGTTGTGCACCAGATATAGTTGTTTGATTCAAATTGAGAATTATATGATTTTGATTATATCATACAGATCCATTATTGAACCAAAAGTAAACATATTAGACTATTTCCAGAAAGAATTATCCAAACAAAAGAAAATAAGGAACGCATAATAGAATAATAGCTAAGTATATGTAAATATAGCTTAGCCAAACAAAGCCTAAAGGCTTGTAACAAACTGTAACTGACTGGGCCGAGTCAGCACAGTCTGATTGAGTTATAAATACTCAACCTAATGAGTATTGTAGCTAATTTCTCTTTTGAGATTTCATAATAACAAAATATGAAATACTCTAGATCTACCTATCTCTCTTCTTCCACTTCTCTCTTTTAATACACAACCACATTATACAAAACTACTGCTCCATGAGTCCATGTAGTCGACAGTTACTCCTATAGAACATAATGGTGCCATTTGATCTTGTTGAGATATGCACTAATTTGTCTAAATTATGTATTTATTGGAATTGATTTTGTATTGATTTTTCCCCTGAATGAAGGGATTCTCTGTTAGGGTGTAAAATAGTGGTTAGTTAGAATAGTTCAGGATTGTTATGGAATTTAGTTAGTTGAGGTTTTTATAGGGCTATTTGTATAATACGAAAATACAATGTAGAGTTGATATTATTGAATATTCTTAATCTATTGCGAAGGGGGAAAGGAAACCCTCGAGGAGAAAGTATTCTCTTTTGTGAAGGGGAAATCCATGAGGAGAGGTTCTCTCCTATTCTATCCTATTTTTCAATAAAAGTGTTCTTTCTTTGGAATCCAGTTCTTGGGTTCCTAACAATTGGTCCGAACCTGCCAGATCTTCAAGGAGTGCCAGTGTTGGAGATGGAGGCATCACATAGGGTGAATTTGCCCACTTTTACAAGGAAAAACTCCATTAGGTGGCTTGCAAGGGCTGAAAAGATTTTTGAGGTGCAAGAAACTCACGAGGTCGATTAGTTGCAAAGGGCTTTCATGAGCATGGAGGGAGTAGTCATGTGTTGGTTCAGTTCTTGGTGTCAAAAGGACCCAAATTCAAATTGGGCATCATTCTCTTCAAAAGGAAGTTTGACCACAGATGTTTAAAGATGAATCGGGCTGTGCTTTTCTAGTATTAGAACAGTTATGAAACAAAAATTATAAAAAATATTAAGGACAGGTTTAGAAAAACAAAATCACAAACCTTGAGATTTATTACAGCAACCTTATTTGCTGGTGTTGAGAGCTGTTCACTGATGTAGGCCATAGACTTCAGCATTGGCTCCAAGGAAACTCTTGAGAGCTGAAACTTAACCTCGGATTCTGTTGAAGGACTCCTACCATAATCTTGCAACTGCAATATGGTGCTTGAAATATGTTAAAAGGACTAAATCTCCTAACTGGTTATCAATTATAATATGAGGGCAAAATCAAAGTACTTTACAAAATGAAAGGCTACAAAAGATATCCATAACTATGCAAATCTATGTAAACACTGACACCTCTGAAAAATGGCGTGTTTGCTACTGTGTCGAACACAGACACTTGTAATTACCTTTAATTTATCCATTTTTCAAATTAACACCGGTGTTTCAGTGTCGGTGCCGGTGTCGTATTTGGGGTGTCCGTGCTTCATAGATGCAAATAAAGTACTGAAATCTAGACCAACTTTACAGCTAAGCTAAATTAAGAATATTAGAATTTGCTTTTTGTTAGTAGAGGATAATATGAATGAGCATGCCTTCAGATTGATAACAGCTACTTTATTCCCAAGACTTGAGTTTTTGTTCTCCATTACCCATGTCATCGATTTTAGGCATGGAAGAACCGCCTATATGAAAGAAAACAAGGATCAAATTAATTCCATGGAATCCTATTCCATTGAACAATAGAAACAGATGGTAAAAGGATCTTTTCCAAGTACCATGTTTCCTGATGAACCATCATCTCGATGAAGAGACACTGGGGCCATTTGTGGCAAATTTAGGTCAGCAACTGATTGAACTGGACCACCAGAATCATTAAGATTAAACCTCCTTGTTATTTCATCGTGTCGCGGCCACAAAAGAGGAGTTAAATCTGAAGTTGAACTGGTGGTGGTTTTCCTGTCATTATAAGTAGTCCCGCTGCTGGCTTGATTATTAGGAGGTGCTGCTTTGGCAACACTTCTTTTCATTGCAGCAACCTTCTTTCCACCTTCTTTAAGACCACTCACTGCAGCATTATAAGTTTCCACAGTTACTGCTCCTTCCTCGGCGTATCTTATGGCTTCCCGACATAGATTACTGTACCTCAATGTCAGAGACTCCTGACTATGTAATTCACCAGTACGTTCATCCGATCCAGTGCTACTTTTTGCATTTTTTGTCCACCGTTTTAAGATGTAATGGGATGGTAATGTAAGTACATTTGTCACGGTGAAAACAGTTAAAATGTGCCTGCAAAGAATGCCTGAATACTCAAACATTTGGCAAGTACAGTTAGCTCTCAATTCAGCATGGTTGAATGCAACAGTATATGCCTTGTCGACATCCTCAAATTTTGCAACCTTGAACGTGCTATTTATATCATCTCCTTCAATTATATTTGCAGTATAAACAAAAGTTTCAACTAGCTCTTCCTGAAACTTCAAAAATATTTTTCTTGTATAAAGATTAGCAGCTTGTTTCTCCATTGGTGAAGGTGTCCTCAAAACTGGTGTTGTGCAAATTGTCTCGAAGTCTGCTTCTATTTCCTTTTCAATCCAGCTCTCTAAAGCTTTTTCATATTGCTTAAAGAACAAGGGCATTGTCATCTGTTGGATGACATAACCATCAAAAAAAGAACCACCAAATCCTTGATTAGGAGACATTGCAGCAAAAAAAGAATCACGGAAGTATGCTGGAACCCACTGAGCACGGGCATTATACAGGGACTGAAGCCAATCATTGCTTCTAAGCTCATATTTATCAAGGATAGAATTCCAAGATGACTCAAACTCCTCGATGGTTTCTGTCAGGTTAATACAATTATAAAGTTCACCCTGAAAATTTGGATGCAATAGACACACATGGGCCAACTTTTCCTGGCCTTCTCTCAAGACATGCCACTTGTTAATACAGTGGCGAGTTTGTGGGAAAACTTGTGAAACTGCTGCCTGTATGGCTCTGACTTGATCGGTAATAATCGAGACAGGCTGTCGATCATTCATTGCTGTGAGAAATGTCTTAAAGAGCCACAAAAAAGAAGCCTCAGAATCATCAAAAAGGAGTGCACAACCAAACAACACCACCTGACCATGATTGTTTACTCCAGTAAAAGGAGCAAATGGCATTCTATACTGCTTAGCTCTGCATGTGGTATCCAGATGAACTGCATCGCCAAAATGACTATAAGCTGTCCTGGATCGGGCATCTGCCCAAAAGACATTAGACATATGATTGTCTTCATCCAGTTGAATAGCATAGAAGAAACCGGGGTTCTCGGCCTGCATTTTCTTAAAATACTCCAGCAGATAATGAGCATCCTTCCCTAATGTCCTGTTTTGAAAAGGCGGCCTGGCAGTACAATTCCTTAACGTGGCATTGTTAACAGAGTGACTTAGTTCAGAAGCAGTGGCAGCATGAATATTTAGCACCGCACAACTATTCTGATTAGAAATATGATTTCCATCCACAGATAAATACATGACACCACTTGGAACAAGTCCAACTCCTTGATAAGTTTCAGGCATAGTCCTTCCAACACTCGAAAAATGCTTACGTTGATGAAGGCTCGGTGCCTCGCTGGAACTCCCCAATGAATGACTATGCTCCCTCACAAATTTAGTTACAACCCATTTACTTTGACTCTTCAGCTCAATCCTAATCATTGCATCACATCCCTCGTTAAACCTTTTCTTTAAACCTTCCCTTTCACACACAAACTCCTTATACATATTTGGCCCATCGGCTTTAGAGCGACTACGTGAGCCAACCTTAGAATTAAAACCTATGTGCTTAGCGTAATCATCATAGTAAGTCTTGGCAACATCTTCCGAATCAAACTCCATACCCAAATACGGCTCGGAAATCCCATCCTCAACATAAAATCCAGAGTTTTCAGCATTATTAATTTCACCGTCACTAGGTTGTCCTGCATCCCCGTCATCTGACTTAGCTTGATGATCATTTTCTTCTTCAACATTTATCACATGAACATCCATTTAAAACAATGTATACTCCTATGCTACTCCGTGTCTAATTCATAGCCTACGATAACAAAACTGAAGCTTAATCCAAAAAATTGACGGAATTCATTGACGAAACGGTTTAGCACAAGTTGAATTGATAAGAAGAATAAATAACCTAACTTACAGAAAAAATGGTAAGCTCCAGAAATTCACGAGTCTTCCATGAATAGTTGTGAAAAAATCAAATTCGTTGAAATACTTATATTCTGAGTAGTATAAAAACGCGGGAAAAACGCGGGGGAACGGTGAGATTCGGAAAACGAAACGACGGTGTTTCGGAGGTGGTTAGGGTTTCTCGACCACCGGGAGTTGCAGAGGAGAGAGTGAGAGAGGAAAGAGAATATGAGTGCGTGTCACATATTCAACGTGACATAAGTACACACGCGTGATGTATGCCGTTGGATTAAGATCCAACGGCTATTATTCAGTAAGATGAAACAACTTTTTCTTTTAACAATGTGGGATCTGAAATAAAGCTGTACGTTTGTGGTGCGATTTGCCAAGTGCATGCATACCACCAATGTTGTGGGTACAACACTTTTTTCACTATTTATTTATTTTCTTTTTAATAAAATTATTTAGTATAATTCTTTTGGAGCTGTACTGAATCTTTAATCAGATTTTTGTCTTAACAAATAAGTTTAAACTGAAAATTCATTTTATTTATTTTTGTCAAGTAATTTAAGGGTACAATCTCCCGCATTTAAACTAAAAGAGTTTTATAAAAAAAATAAAACTCTTTCTTCATACCTTTTCAGCTATTCGTATTCAACTATTTGCTTTTTTCGTGAAGTCTTAAACCACCTCACTAAGTTTTGTTCTTCAGACAGGTATTTCTATATTATTACATTATTTTACTAAACTTGTTACTAATTTCAAAAGGGTAATGAAGTTACACTTGCAACAAAATGGTTTCATTCAAACAGAAAATGAAAATAGAGATTTGATAATTCACATGGAAACCATGTTACAAACTGTTGAACTTCCCTTAGTTTCACGTTGTTGTATATACAAAGTACCTCAAAAAATCCGAAAACTCAACCAAGAAGCATATACTCCAACCATACTTTCTATTGGTCCATTTCACTATGGAGACAAGAGGTTAGAATCCATGGAAGATCTCAAATTGAGGTACCTCAAGAGCTTCCTTGAGAGAACTCAAAAGGGGTTAGGAGATTGCATTCAATACATCAAAAAATCAGAAGAGATCATTAGGTCTTGTTACTCAGAAGCCATTGAACAAACCAGTGATGGCTTTGTTAAGATTATTTTAACCGACGCTTGTTTTATAATCGAGTACTTTCTTCGGTCGCTAGAGTGGCCACAAGAAGATCCTTTGTTATCCAAACCATGGTTGAGATGTGATGTGAAGCTTGATCTTATATTACTTGAAAATCAGCTTCCTTGGTTTGTTCTTGAAGACTTGTTCAACCTGACAGAACCTACTTGCATCGACGGTGAGGTTTCTTCGTTTTTCGACGTTGCTTTTCATTACTTTAGGGTTCATTTCCTGCAGAGTATATTGCCTAATGAAACAAGTAACAACAAGTTCACAATCGAATACTTTCTTGAACACTATCAACAGTATATTATGAAACCTGATCAAGTTAGTATGCAATTACATAACCTCACCGATCTGTTACGAGTATTTTACTTGCCACCTGACATGTTACCGAAAAGGGAAAAACAAACCGTGAAACATCTATATAGCGCAAGCCAGTTAATGGAAGCTGGCGTGAAACTCAATGTTGGTCAAGATTACCAAAGTGTACTTGAGTTGAAATTCTCAAAGGGTGCGCTTACGATACCAAGATTTGAAGTTTGTCACTGGACTGAGACTCTTCTAAGGAACATAGTTGCGTTCGAGCAATGTCATTATCCTTTTCAGACTTATGTAACGGATTACACAATCCTCTTGGATTTCCTGATTGATACGAGTCTGGATGTTGATAAACTTGTTGATAAGGGAATAATGATTAACACGTTGGGCGATAGCAATGCAGTTGCTAAAATGATTAACAATCTTTGCCTTAATGTTGTTCAGGAAAATGTCAACGGCGGTTATATTTCTTTATGCAGAAAATTGAATTGCTTTTATGAGGACCCTTCTCATAAATATAAAGCAATCTTTATACATGACTACTTCAGCACTCCTTGGAAGATAACATCTTTTGTTGCGGCAATTGTTCTACTTTTGCTTACTCTAGTTCAAGCCACATGTTCTGTCATTTCATTGTTTTAGGTTCAATTCTTGTACTCCTCATTCTTCAATAATACTATTGTTATCTTCAGCTTTTGATTTTATTGTTCTGCTTTTGATTTACTGTTGATAAATGACACCGAGGCAAGTAAAACTAGTGTAGCTGGCAGGGTGTCTTGGAAGATATGGTTATGGAACCTGACTTAACCAAGGCCTTGGGAGTAAAATAGGGACTCCAGCCTGCACTAGTTCAGAACATAGTTGATTTAATTATTGAATCTAATGCATCTTTTGTTGTTAAATGTTAGAATTTCAATTATGTTCTTGCCACAATAGACACATGAGAAAGTGCTTGTATTCATTACTAACTAGGCACCACAATCTTATGACTCATAATTTGCTAGGATTGGCCAAGCGACCTTGGCACCACCAGATTCAACATAGTTAATCATGGTTTGCTAACAACCTTTTTAGAGTGGTGGCGCGAGAACACGAGCATCTTCCAACTTAGAGTTCAGGAGATGAAAGTGACAAGAAAATGATATGTCATGTCTCTTGTATCTCCCTATCCATGGATGTCACCTTAACAAAATAGTTGTCATCAAAGATTAAGGAATGGGTTTATTGGTCGATCAATTTAGATCAGACTCAAAGAAGGCCTATAAAGAATTTGAACAGGTCATAGGGTCTCATGCGTGATTCAACTTCCTCATAGAATATTTTAACAGACACATGTTAGTTGCGAATGTCACATGGGAGAAGGGCGATGATATGGAGGCTCACATGTGCAGAGTTCACAATTAGAGCGTATCTCTTGTTTCTAGTGGGCTCAACCATTTTCAAGAACTAAACCCCACATACGCCCACCTAGTATATCTTTATTTTTTAGAGATCTAGATATGACGAATGACTATGCCTAAGGGATTGTAGTATTGACTTACTTGTATAAGGACTTGAATGTTGTAATAAAGATAAGAATGAAGCAGCTAGCCATGTATATGACATTGCTTCAGGTAACGTTTTCATGCCATTATTTAATTAATTATTCAAAATTAATTAGTATACAATATTGTTCAAAGATTAGTACATGTTGATGCATGCATTGATTTACAACTACTTTACATGTATTGGTGGACAAGAGTTCGACCAAGAGTATGAAGAGACCGAGCCCCGTGGAAACATCTTCATTCCAAATAAGGGATATTATACAACATATCCATATAGAGAATTCCTAAATCTCCTAATGTGTTGTTCAATAACTACACCCCTTCACCGAGTCACACACCCACTTGATGAAATCAATTTCTTTTTTGGTTGTATCATATGTAAATCGTGCAAGATCCAATACATGCTTGAGTGATTTGTACACTAGTTCAGATACATGCAAGATATTCCGAGTCATCTTGTCGTTTCTATAACACCTATTATCAGTGCAACCCAGATTGATAAGAGATATCCTTAATATTTAACTATATTTTGTCCATTTAGGACTGAGGCGCTTAAACCCTTCATGATTGGAAAAACTATACTTTGACACGAGATGTGGTATTGTGGGATATCACATCCCTACTTATTTCCCACACTGGTAGGCCAAACATTCTTACCATCTAAGGAGGAAACCATCGTAGTGAAGGCAAAGAAAGATAGTAGTTTGGGTAGTAAGTTTCCTGTATGCGCGCATATTCGAGACATAGTTGTCAAGTTACTCTCTCGTGTAACTATACAAAAGGGTTCATATGTTAACATAGTTGTTCGAGAGATTTTGAGGGAAGCCAAGGTAGCCTTTCGGATGAAGATGAGGGTCGGTACCAAACAATTTCGGATTCTATAATTCAAACCCACATTTAGGGGGGTTTTGGCATAGTATGGGTTGTACAATCCAAACCTATGTTTTTTAGACATAATCCTAATTCTATAATCTGAAACGTGTTATTGGATTCTTTTGTATGGTCTAGATTGTACCAACATTTTTTGTGGACTATAGTGCACAAAAATTTGTATAAAATGATGTGTTGGATTCATTTGCAATTCACATCAGAAAAACAATGAACTCTTCTTATCCATACTCAATCAAGATGAACTATGGCTACTAATTTACTACAACAAAGTAATTATTCCCTATTTACTCAGGATCAATGTTGATGTACATTGTCTGATCTAAAATATCAACTGAACCAAATGAATCTTTGTCTCAACCACCACGACTCAAGAAGGATTGTCAGTGTTGAGTATCTTTGCTTGTCAATCGACGATGATGGACGTGTTCATTTAAAATGACGATGTGAAAATCATATTCTTAATATTTGTTAGTATAGTACCAAGTACCGACCGAGTTAGATGTTACTTTAGGCTATATATTTAAGTGCATACACATAGTACCCACTTAATATTTTAAAAAATGAATATCTTCATTCATGATGCTTACAAGCCATGTTTGATTGGTGGAAGAATAAAAAACATATTTATTATGGAGCCCACTTGGAAGATTAGCATGGACCATTCACCATTCATTCCAATTTCCACATAAATTACCTATTAATTAATCAAACAAGTGCAACCCAACTTCTATGAAAGTGCAGTAAACTCAAGTCTTGGTCAACTCAGGAATTTCCACTTCCTTCCTCCACTGGCCTTTTACATATATATGATTATGATAATAAGAAACCAATGAATCAGATCAAAACATGGTTGGAGGGTCAGTTGGAGACAACTTAGGACTGAATGAAGAGGTTATCAAGAAAACATGTAGTTTGTCTTTCAAAGCTCACAACTC